AAGGGATACTGTATTCCTTCCAGGATCTTCCGGCGGTTTGTCTGGGTGGGGTTCATGCACTCCACCTTCCGAGTACCTGTAGCCACGAGGGATAATCAGTCAAAAGTGTCTTATTTGTCAAAATAAGTGTACAGTAAATTCAGCCCGTGATCACACCTACTTTCAAATGAAAGATATTCAAAGGCATTTGTGCCTTCTCTCATGGTACACTTTGAGATGCCCTCTGAGATGAAGGATTCTGAATAATTTCATACTGTTTTTTCTTTTTAGTAAAAAAAACCCAAGTTTGCCAGTACATGTCATGTGGCAGAAACTGTTTCTATGAATATTGTCATGTTACGTCATGTCATTTGCCAAACTGCTTTATACTTACGGTGTCGCGGGAAGCCGGAGCCTACCCGGCAAGCAACGAGCGCAAGGCAGGGTACACCCTGGACAGGACGCCAGTCCATCGCAGGGCAACTTCAAGCCAATCATGTATAGGGACAATATGCAGGCCACGGTAAAGGCTGAGGGGGGAAAGTTGGCCCAGACACCGGGATAACTCCATATGCTTATCAAGAAATGCCCTTGGATCTTTAATCACCACTGAGAGTCAGGACCTCGTTTTAACATCTCATCGGAAAGAAGGCGCCCACCACAGTATAGCGTCCCCGCCACTATACCGGGGCATTAGGACCCACAGAGACTAGAGGGTTAGCACCCCACACTGGTCCTACTAACACCACTTCCAGCAGCAACCATAGCTTCCCAGGAGGTCTCCCATCCTGGTACTGTCCAGGATCAACCCTGCCTTGCTTCAGTGGGTAGCCAGTTGAGAGCTGCATGGTGGTATGGCTGCTATGCCCTATGAATATTGTCCCCGTATATACATATAAATGAATGCAAGACATTGCCAAAGACTCCCTAATGAATGTACAGTACATAACCGTGTTCAGCTGCAATACAAACAACACACCTGCATCAGCCCAGCACAGCAGGGAAGAGTAAGGGTCATAGGTCAAGCCGTTGGGCAACCCCAGGTCATCCTT